ATTGCTGCTACATCATGTAATATTCTGCGCTGCATCTTCTCACGTACCTACACCTGATCCTGAGAGCTGAAATATTGTTATTCTGTTGGTAAATATTCTTTCAGCGTGTGTTCAAGGCCTGTGCCTCTGTTTAGCCACTGTGGCAGCAGCCATGTCTCCCAACAACATGGCTTTGAAACACTAATGCAAATTTATGCCTGGATTTAAAAGGTGGAGAGAAATTTATGCAACCACCTCCAGTTGCTCAAACTTAAGTGAATTGAGTGGAATATGTAATCAACCATACTTCCAATATCTCCACCCATTTTCAGTGCAGTCCATACTCCATGTTTTGTGCTGTACTCCGTCAAATGCATATTGTCAGTTAGGGCTGCACGATCACAGCACAAATAACACGATTACTCATTGCCTTTGGAAACATCATGCAGTTATTAAACTTTTTAAAAAACTTGTCTTTTTTACAGTAGATTTCCTTGAACCTTAATGCAATCTAAAAAAATGATAGATAAATAAAATAATATATAATATATAAATATGTGTACATTTAAATAAACAATATAAAAGTAATAAATAGAAATAAATAAGATCAAAATAAATAGTAAATAAATAACTATGTTGAAGTGCACTTCCACATCCTACTGAAAACTACTAAACATATGTAAAATAATAAATAAAAATGAATTTGACCAAAATAAATTAGATGTGTTTGGGCTTTTAGGGTAAAGTAAAGGAAAGGGGTGCACTGGATTTATAACACAAAATGAAATCAGCATATCACTGCCAAACGAAATGCAGCACAATGAAGTTAATCTTGATTATCTTGTTTTCATAATCGTTGGAAGCAAAAATTGTAATTGAAAATAAAATTAATCAACCAGCCCAGTCGTCGGTATGAAAAAAAAAAACATGTATCTCCAAAGTAGTAACTGTACAGGTGAAGGAAAAACAGTTTTAAAATGTAATGTAAGATTTTATTCCTGGTCATTTCGGACCTTTTCTATTGGTCCATTCAGCATGAAATTTTCACGCAGTGTAGTAGTGTATGTCAAGCTATTATGTTCAAATGATGAAGAAAAATAAAACTTGGAAAAAATGGACACACCTTTTTTGTACAGTGAAGACGGGCAGTGCTCATGTCCTAGCAACTACGCGTTTAGGCTTGTGTGTCAGTTTTGGGCGTAACACGTGGACAGACTGTCCAATTAGCACCTTAAACTGCCCCAAAGAGGGCTTATTACATTGGGCCCTCTTTGTTTTGATGAATCAAGGAATTAATGTGATCCAACAAACATATTTTTTTTATCAAAATAATGAACGCCAGCCTTTAATCTTATTACCTCAAGGTGCTCATACACTGCAACATGTTACATTCACAATATGTTGAAATCTAATCACAATACAGGTATTCCCTCCATATGTTGTGGAACTGTATTGTGATGTGCAAAACTGAAAAGTCTTTCTGTATTCAGACAAGTTTGGCCTGTTTAATACTGTCTACTGTTTGAGGGTTTGTATTCAGCCTATACGATTCTAAAATCCACCATGCATGAAAGTAGGCAGATCTCGTTTTCTTTGTGCAGGTAATTGCAGCAATGTCTCCAGGTCATTTTTGTATCCAAAGGCTATTTTCACTCCAACACTGTTATGAAGCTTAGCCATCGGGTCCACTACCTCAAAGGCCAGCCATGCATTTGCCTCCACAGCCCATCCAGTCAGAACAGCATTGTTGTTTGAAAGTTCAGGGCGATTTCCTGAAAAAAAAAATCTTGTTTGAGTTGCCATTCTCTGACTCCTAGCAGAGGCACAATGCAAAATTTATCTTGAAAGAACAGAACAGATTTTAAAGGAATGAAAAGTTAAGAGCAAACAGTTTGTTTTTTTAACCAAAGTATGAGGTCATTTTGCTGAGCAATATGTCTAGATATCTTGAATAAGTCGCCATATTAAAGGTCATCATCAGCAATTGATATCATAAGACTTGGAGAAATAGGCTACAATTTGTGCAGCTGGAGTTGTTCAGAGGGGAACTCTCAGGGTCTTCTGTACCTTCAGCGAAGACCTAATGATTTCTGTGAAACTAAAAAATACATGTATGTAATGTTTAGTTCATTTTTATTTCATGCTTGTTGTATTGTACTAATGCTATTATTTCATAGTTAAGATACAGCCAGGCAAATTCTCCCATTGGTTAGGACTTCAGGAGCTGAATTGAAGGCCTAATGTGGCCTGCTAACCACTGGCATTGTTAAATAATAGTGCTGAAGTGTAGTAGCAGGCTTACGGTCGTGCTACTTAAAAGCCTCGTAATTTAGAATACCTAATAACATTTGAGGGAAAAATGCACACAGAGCAAAACATACTGACTTTAAAACCTTTTTGCCATAGGAAGCAATAGCAGCTATTTAAAAGAAACTGTTCTTAATTTTGCACAGAGAAAACTGGCTTATTTGGGCATTGTCAACTATGGAAGGATGCACAACCACAGAGGTCAATGCTTTTTTAAGTGAGATGTGTTATGTAGGAGAAGGTTATTAGGAAAAAAATAACAATATTGCTTGTATATTGTTTATCGCAAGATATATGTGTGAAGTTCTTGCAGTATAAAGGTTAGAAATCTATAGCAGTATTTAAGCACTCCACGAGGCTGCCAGGGAGCTTGAGAACCAGCCAAATATACCTGACTAAGCATTTGTTGATGTGTTCACACCCACAGTGGAAAGTTCTGAAGATGTAATTATAAGGTGATTTGCTCCTCATATGGATCGACAGTGTATTACAATCTGGCACTATAAGTCTTTATGGATAGAACATTTTGGCCACGCTCCCAAAATGGTATTGATGTATTAGGCTGTACTCTGCTACACTGATAGTCCTGCTAACCATCCTGGCAGAACACATTCAAGCTGACTGTTTGTGTTTTCAGGAATGAGGAGGTACAGGAGGTATAGTGTGGAAGAACAACCAGCCAGTCAGTAACACTGCCCAAAATGTAGGGGCCCACAAAAACGTGTGATGGTTGCAGCGTACGCTTTGCCAGTTTGGGTCACGAGAGCATCGCAAAAGTACTTAAAGTGTTAAAGAGGAATTTCATTCATTTTTTTAATAAAATTTCTGCATAATTCAGTGGTTAAGATGTAAACAAAGCCATTCAGAGTGGTTTGATGTGAAATGGTTCATTGTTGAGAAACTTACTGATATCTTTGCAGTAGTGGTGAAAGGAACCAGGGGCCATGTCTACACAAATATAGCCATTTTATTTACTAAATCTAAATCTAGATTTAGGTCTAAAATGACCAGTGAACCTATACTAGTCTTCTAAAATTTTTTATGTAATGTTGATGTTAACAAGTGGTCAAATTTCAAAAACTACTCTTTCTTTTGGCCTTAGAATACCATGCATGCATGTCTCCACTATAAATGGGTTTGAGAAATACGTTTTATGCCACAATCTTATCTCAAAACTACCATACATCAGTGTCTCAGGCAACAGGCAATAATCCATAACCATTTCAGGTAATAGCTTTCTGGGAGGGAGCTTTTAGAGGCATTAAATGCTTTGGATGTCTGGTTCCTATCACCCCCACTGTGAACAGTTCTGAATGTAGAACTGTGCATTTCACATCAAACCACTATGAATGACTTTGTTTACATCTTACATCTTCTTTGTTAATTTTAAAGTCATGTGAACTGCTGAAAAGTGATTCTCATTCTTAACCATGACATGACTATTTGCACTGTTATGGGTGGATATTCAGGTTATCAGATTGAAATTGAGGTAGTGTAACTCGTATTTTCTCCCCTTGCGAGTGATCAACTCTCACAAAAGAACAAGAAAACCTGACAAAATCTGCATTTAGCTGACAAATTTAGCTCATAGAAACATGCACAGACAGGAAAATAACTATGAGTGGTTTTAATGTAATCTTGCTAATAACCATCCTAATTTTATGATGTCTAGTTTTTGAAACTGTAACAGAATTTGCCTTTTTTGTGTTGTGATTACATCATGTCAGCACACATATTCCATCACTACCAATCCCTGTCCGATAGCATATCTCAAATATACAGATGAAGAGTTTTATTCAGTAACACATGAGGCTTATGCTTTAATCAAAAATAAGGTATAAGCCATTTACAGCTGTTTTAAATTGGGATGTAACAATTATATATTTTTTAGATTAATCTTGAGTTGGAAACAAAAAGGTTGAAATCTTGAAACACAATAAAAAATTATCTACTCAGGATGTTTTTCTTGGTGGTATCTAGTTAGATACAGCCAGGCAAGCTCTACCTTTGGTTAGGACTTCAGGAGCTGATCTGAATGTCTAAAGTGTTAGAATGACCATAAACATAATTAGGAATTAATCAAATTTTCATTTACAATAAGTGGGGCCACTTTTTGAGGAAACAGTCTCTTTAGGCCTTCTGGAAGTCCTAGATATGTCACTGACTGTGAGAAAGTTGGTAGCCTGACCAATGTGATTCAGTCAGTTGTTAGAAATGGAAAACAGTGGCAGCTCTACGCCCGGACTCCTCACACTGTAAAACTGCTGCAAGGTGAAATATTTGTTAATATGTCTTTTACAAGACTCAAAAATCTGTTTCCTCTAGAACGACCAAAAGATGTTTGTGTAAATTGTTGTTAGCTTAGTGCTAACATACTCTTCCAGCGCTAGCAGAAATTATCATTATCGTAGAGGTGTTTTAAAGGGTGTAAGAATCTCAATAAATTTCTGTGTTTGATCAAGTAAACATTGAGAGTTTAGATGATGACAGACGTGATTCATTTGTTGTCATTTTAATATGGAGCATTGTGGTACTTCATTGTGGTATCAGTATCAAAGTCGAAATTCTGGCGTGATGGCCCAACGTGTGACCGTGTTTCTTTCACCGCTTTACAGGACACATTATCAGCTATTGCATTTCGATAAATAAAGCTAAATCATGACAAAATCCTGAAGCCTCAGTTCTGATGAATGCTTTGCTCTTCTCCTCCTCAGATCCCATCTGATGCCGAGGCTGAAGGAGTCACGGTCTCACGAGTCATTGCTCAGTCCCAGCAGTGCGGTGGAAGCTTTGGATCTCAGCATGGAAGAGGAGGTGCTCATCAAACCTGTGCACAGCAGCATCCTGGGACAGGACTTCTGCTTTGAGGTCAGTCTGCTGATCACTGACTCTTCACCTATGGTTTATCAGGCGTTTTATTCAGTCATGTGAAGGAACACTGTGGAAATTCAGCTGTTTAGAGCATCATAACCATGTCAGTGATATCGTGCTGCATCTCGTGCAGTAGCAGAATGTTCCATTGTGATGGTAAATTATTTGCATGTGGCCGATGCTCATGATAGCACATAGTAAAGTGTGAGTATAACACACAGCAGGCTTGGCTCATAGCAAAGTCATTGACCTATTAAAGGTCATGTCTGTGGGTAACATTTGCATGCATGCCACCTTTTGGTGTTCATACACTGTGTCATAAACAAATGGCATGGCTCTAGGCCAACAGGCTGACCTGCCCTACGGGCTGTGGGTAGTAACTCCTGTGCACAGTAACCTCTGTCTGAGAGAGTGAGCCACGGTTAGCCACAAGCATGGACATTAGGCCCATTTTGTTTGCTAAAATGAACATGCATTAACATATTATTTGCAAATTTTGGTGTTTCTGTCATATTGATAGAAATGCTGTATGTAATGATGGACGTTCAAAAACTACTAATGCCTGCGGTTTTATTGGGGTTTGTCTGCTTAATTGATCAGAAAAAAAAGTTGTTAAAACATTTTTAGCCTAAAATCCCTTAGATGGAAACTAGACACTATAAGAAAGGGTCAGCAATGACAGTTTGTTATTGTGATAAATTATGCCCAGTGTTTTTATCTGAGTTTATCATGGGTATCATCAGTATTTCTAGAACCTTGAACAACTGCATATCTTTGGACAAGAAAAAACAAACAAACAAAAAAACAGTTTTAAACTAGGGCTGGATGATACGGCATAAAAATATACTCATAATCACAATACTCTTTCACGATACACAATATGTATCCCAATATTTTACTTGGCTTGACAAAACCAGCTTACTGTTTATTGTTATCTTCTTATTTTTTATTTTTTTGAACTTATTGTTCTGTTTTTACAAATCGACAAACATTGGGATGCCTTAGCAACACCTGAGCAACCACCTGGCTTAACATACAAACTTCCTAGCAACAAGTTAGCAACCACCTGGGATACCATAGCAGCATCTTAGCAACCAATGGGTATACCTTAGCAACGACCTAGCAACATCTTAGCAACCACGGAGGATAACATAGCAGTGGCCAAGTGTGTTTAGACAATAAAATACCTACTGATGTAAATGAAGGTGCGCGAAACAGTCACACTGTCCCCTCCTCCCAGGAGAAAAGCACCAGTTTAAGAGAATCTAAAGTCAGTACACCCAGACAGGCACTTGTAGACCAACAAATAATTACTCTGTAACTAAACAGGAAGAGACAGACACACAGGTAATAAAAGCTGACAAGGCTAAAGCTAGCAAACAAGGACTATAGCTAGCACGCAAGGGCTAAAGCAAGCTAGCAAGGACTATAGCTAGCAATTACCTGGGATTCCATGGCTGTTTCAAGCCAACTTGTTCACAAACTAAACAGAGGCTCAACAGTGCTACATTTAGAAAATGCTATCAAAACTGTGAGTAGGATGATTTTTATGCAGCATTGTTCTTACTGTGCTGCCGTAAATCCAATTAAACAGGACTAATTATGCCCAGTGTTCTTTAAGTACTGACAATATTCACAAAACACTCAGAAAAGCATATTGTGGCATAATTTATCACGACAGCATTAAATGTCGTCACCCCCACCACCCCCACCACCCCTTAGACTAATTATAGAGAGCCTGTAAACAGCAACAGCCAGTGTATATAGTAACTGCATCATCTGTATAGTAACAAGCAGCTCATTGGATGTCGGCATGTTATCTTATTTAATTCATTATTTATTATTTGTTTGGTTTTTGCAGATTTAAACTAAAAAACAATACTCCTTTTTAAAGTCTTGTAAACATGGCACGACTGTTTTTGCCATCCCAACCTGTTCACAAACCTCAGAAAAGAACTACACATCATGAAACAAAGAATGAAACATATTGTGCAGTGTAGAAAGTGTTATGATGTTATATTTTTGCCCTATTGGCCACCCTTAACTAACTCTGCTCTTCAGCACTTAGAAAATAGATTCTCTTTAAAAAAAAACATGCGTTCATTAATAAATAAGCTGGACTTAGGCCTCAAATAGAGGGCAAACTAACATCTGGCAGCATCGATGTCCATCCCGCAGAGCTAGTAGAGATCAGCTCAGCTTAGCGGCCCACTGTGCAGATTTCAGCTCGACACACCTGTCTGAATTTCCTCTCTACTTCCCCCAATCAGTGCTCAGTGGAGCCGAGCGCGGCCAGACTGGCTGACACGGACTCAGAGGCTGCTACACATCAAGCCAGCTGGCATCTGCATATCTCTGACCACAAGAGAGGGACAGGGAGGGAGAGCTGCAGGGTCAGCCAAAGGGTTATTACTGATAGCAGTCTTTTTGGTTGGCTTGTTTACCCGTTTGTCCTAAGCCTGTGTCCTCATATGGAGATTGAGAGCAGTAAATAAAATGTAATCCGGTTGAATTACAGTGATTACTAATAAGTGCATATTATAGTGCTAATTAGTTCAGTAAAATATATTACATCAATTGAGCTGTTAATTAGTCAGTTGCCAACATGCATGAGGCACACAAAGAAAGGTATGCATATTATATTGTCAAGTTGCACTTTTGTGTGAAATTAATTAGTGTTAATTCTTAGTGTTAATTCTTGTTCTTGCCAGTCAGTCTTGTTAATATCATAATTTACATTCATAATGCATCATTATCTTTGTCGAAATAAACAAATAGCTTAAACCCTGTTAGGGTTTTCAGCATGGCGTTTTTCTCCTTCCTCCCAAAAAAGCAAATCTGCATAATTCAGTTGTTCAGATGTTAAAAAAATCATTCAGAGTGGTTTGATGTGAAATGGTTCACTGTAAAGAAGCTTACAACTCAGATTTCTTTACAGTGGTACTGATAGGAACCAGGGGCCACAATGTACACAATGAGAAAATAGCCATTTTACTTACTATACAAAATGACCAGTGAATCAACATGTCTTTTGTGAGATTATATGCAGTTGTACAGTTTGAACATCCCCGGTCAGATACTGTTTTGCATATTTTCTATGTCAAAACATGTTAACCCCTGAAACGGCTAGAGCCCACTGGAGGGCCCAAAGTTTTATTACACACTTATATAACCTGAGAATAGCTCAGCCATCATTGAAGGCCCTGTAGTTATTGAATAATAAGGCTTATTATGTAATAAGCCTGGGATTTTAAGGGGTTAACACGTCCTATACAGGGAGCTTAGCATAGTTCTGCAAATTTTATTGCACATTTTTGCACATTTACTGTTTTTTACTGAGTTCAGCGGTGGGAGAAAAACAAAATATAAAATGTGCTGTGACCTTAGCACAGGCCACAATTTCTGTTTTATTTCCCCTCCAATACATTAAATAAATAAACAGTAATTGTGCATTACAATGTGCAGAAGTGTGTTCTCTGTCAAAGATGTGTTACCTCCATAAGGATGTTTTTCTCCTCCATTAATTTGTTTGAAAAATGTGTTTTATGCCAAGACCTTCTCAAACCTGTTGTAAAACAGTGTTTCAGGCAAAGGAGAACCCTCAGGGTCTTCTAGGCGTTCAGAGAAGACCTAATAATTTTAGCGAACTAAAAAGTATAAGTGTGTAATTTTTAGTTCATTGTTACTCATTAGAATCATGCTTGTATTTAAACTCTGCAGTTTTTACAGTACTATTATCGCTTCATATGTCAAGTTTTGAATGGAAACAAAAGGTTTAAGTTCTTCAAACGGCCAGTGGAAAATTGGCCAATCAGGAATTGTCTAGGTAGATATATCTAGGTAGATCTCCTGTTGGTTAGGACTTCAGGAGCTGAAAAGGAACCCTAAGGTGTTAGATTAATAATCAGTGTAATTACTGATTTTTCCAACAGAGAGGACCAACTTCATAAGAAAAAATATCACTCTAGGCAGTTATATACTAGGCCTCTATACTGATAGTCACTGTAAAAGTACTACAGTGTAAAACATATGCTAATATGTCAGCCATAAGCTCCAAGTAGAACATGGAGTGTCTTCAAGCTTCAGATGTCTGTGTTTGATCTAGAACTGCCAACAAATGTCCATGTGAATCACTGTTAGCTTAACATTAACAAACTACTATAATCCCATAACCTCTAGCAGACGTTAGAATTAGTGTAGAGCTGTTTTTTTTCCTCTTGTTTTTACAGAGTTCTGACATTTATGGCTCAAGTTGAAGGCCTAGCTCTAATAGTCATGGTTTGCCACTGGTTTCAGACATTGGGTAATGTATTCATAGCTTTGTAGAGGCATTAAACTCTTGAGAAGTCTGATTCCTATGAACACTTCTGACTCAGTTTCTCTAAAACAGAGCATTTCACATTAAACCACTGAATGATTTTGTGTACATCTAAATAATTCACTTATGCAGAACTCGTACACCTGTACGTGTGAAAATGTTCTGATGTGCGTAGTACCGTTTTTTTCCCCCCACTGCTGTTTTTTCCAAGCCACTGTATTACATGGAGCCTTTTTCCCTCCGGTTAATTTGAAAAGAATGCCTGACAAAAGGCTTCAGCTACAGCTGCCCCATCCCTGCTGTCTCTCTCTGATTGCATTAGATAAATGCATTTAATCGGAGTGGATTCTGTCTATTCACGTTATTTGAGAGCTCTATTCTTTGTCCAATTGTTATTAGTCCCCACTCGAGGGAACTCTTCACCGACTGAGAGCTGAAAGCACAATGAAAGCTGGCCGATCTCTGCACTCACCTACAGCTCCTGAGCCTAATGCACATTTACCTGCTTTCTCTTCTCTCCTCTGTCTCTCCATTATGCACTCATCCTCCTGTCGGTGAATGTGTAATTACAGGTAACTACATCAACAGGAAGCAAATGCTTCTCCTGCCGGTCAGCAGCAGAGAGAGAGAAATGGATGGAGAATCTGAGGCGAGCTGTGCATCCCAACAAGGTAAAGTGCACGACTTCAAAGAGCTCTGAGAGCTCAGAGGAACCCTGGGATGGACTGAGTTTGAGTCCATCAGCTTCTTCCATTTTATCATGTTCTCTCTCTGATTTGGACTCTTGAGCAAACTTTGATGAGACTTTGCCTTCATGATACTCAGCAGCAGATTTTAAGTGGAACTCGGGGTTATCTAGGTTCATTTCGGTATTAGTTCAAAAGTTTGAGATCACTTGTCATAGTAAAATGCTGTTTGAAATTCAATAATAAATTATATAGTGCAGATTCAAAGGAGTAGTTTGGTGGAAAATCAAATTTACACAATTTTCCACTTACCCCAGAAGTAGTCAATCAGTCAAGACGTTTGGAGTGCAAATCGTGCTGCAAACAAACCCAAACAGTAGTCACCCAAACAGGCCAAATTGTTTCTTTAAAAATACATCACTAAAACTTCTCTCAATGCACTCAAAGCGCATCCAGATCTTCATTAAGGTTGCACAGACCAGTCAGTGTGTTTTAAGACACAGTATTACGTCACTGTGTAGTCGAGCCAAATCTCTTCACAAACCACCTCAGGCGTAGGAGTGCTGATCTGCTGATCTCTTCTGATTTGTGACAGTGAATAAATGCATGATAAATACAAAAGAATGTGATCCAATATCAGTCCTCTTATTTACTACTGCTTTGTGAATACTAGGGCTGCAACTAACGATTATTTTCATTGTCGATTAATCTGTTGATTATTTTCTCTATTAATCGATTAGTTGTTTGATCTATAAAATATCAGAAAATGGTGAAAAAAGTCGATCGAAATGTTTTCCAAAGCTCAAGATGACATACTCAAATGTCTTTTTGTGTCCACACCCTAAAGATATTCAGTTTGGTGTCGCAGAGGAGTTAAAAAAAATTACTCAAACTGAATAATCAATTACCAAAATAGTTGACGATTTATTTAATAGTCAACAACTAATCAGTTAATCGATTAATTGTTGCAGCTCCAGTAAATATACCAGCTCCGGTGGTGTCTGAAGTTGTTGGCCATAGAGGCAAAGTTTTGTTCATATTTCTAGTTCAGTGAAAAAGATCAACTAGACTGAGCAGTTCTATTATTTGTTAGCACTGTTAGCTTCATAGCTCCCGTTTAAAAGTAAAGAAGCAAAATTTAGACACCAAACAGGTCTTGGTTGATTGACCACATCTGGGATAAAAGGAAAATTGTGTAAATCTGATTTTTTCACTAAACTACTCCTTTTAATAATTTAAGCTAGAAAGTATTTTAGGTGCTTTATTTAATATTTCAAGCATTTATGGAACAACAAAAAGTGATATTATTAAGGGATAATTTACAGTCACTTTTTGTCAAGTCATCTACCTCAAGTTTTTTTCACTGCATTTGAAGTCCAAATACTTTGGATGGAACATAAGAACTGTACATTATATTTACATTTTCTACTAATTATTTCGTTTGTGAAATTACTCAGGACGAGCATATTAGAAAAATTCTGTACATTTATTTTCAGCCAAATAATTTTGAGATTGGAAAACAATCAATGTGGACAGAGATTCCAAATGTCCGAAAGATAGTGTGCATTAATAGATTTTAGGAATTTGTCTCGCTGGTCACAACACACCATATTACACAATTTTCATCTATATCTTTAATAAAAAGCTTGATCTTATGCATGCATGTGCTTAAGTAGAGATAAGAGTTAAAAAGTAGTAGCTGTATTTAGTGCATGTCTAAACATAATTCTAATATAAATGAAAAGTGACTGGTCAAAAATCACAGAGTGAATAAGTTTAGTTGTGTCCATTCAGGGTCGCTTAACATTACAACTGATATAAATGCTTCATGCCTTTGTTTTACTCAGGACAACAGCCGTCGAGTGGAGAACATGCTCAAATGTTGGATTATCGAGGCCAAGGACTTGCCGGCTAAGAAAAAGTATTTCTGCGAACTGTGTCTGGACGACACTCTTTACGCACGGACTACCTGCAAACTCAAAACGGACAATGTTTTCTGGGGCGAACACTTTGAGTTCAACAACCTGCCGTCAGTCAAGAGCATCACCGTGCACCTGTACAAGGAGACAGACAAAAAGAAAAAGAAGGACAAGAACAATTACATCGGTTTGGTGAACGTGCCCATAGCGGTGGTGACAGGGCGGCAGTTTGTGGAGAAATGGTACACGGTCAGCACCCCGAACCCTAATAAGGGCAAGACGCCAGGTCCCATGGTGCGCATGAAGTGTCGTTACCAGAGCATGAGCATCCTCCCCATGGAGCTGTACAAAGAGTTTGCAGAATACATCACTAATAACTACATGCTGCTTTGTTCCATCCTGGAGCCGGCCCTCAGTGTCAAGAGCAAGGAGGAGATGGCCTGCGCTTTAGTGCATATTCTCCAGAGCACCGGCAAGGCCAAGGTAAGAAAGTTGCAGTGGATCTTAAGGGGTCTTAAGGGGCCTCGTCTGAAAAGTTTTTGGTGTATATGTTTCTAAGTATGTTCGTATCATAAATAGAGCTGCCACAATCAGGTATAGCAATAATCAAGCAATATACTGATTATTTTGTCAATTAATCAAGTTTTTTACAAAAGCTAACAATAAAAATGGACTTAACTGAGCAATAACAAACAATGCATAGCCTTAAAAAAGCTCCAGAATAATTAACTGAAGAAAAACTATGATGCTTTTAAAAGCTTGAACTTACTGTGCAGTTGTCAAAGACCATCTTAGATTTGTTTCAATTTCAAAGTACTCATTTTTAACGTTAGGAAAAAAGCAGGAAATTATAGAGACGCCTCAACAACTAAGTATAATGTCAGTTTTTTCAGTATTTACTGTGTCCACTCTTTGCATTTATTACAGCTTCCATTCTTTTCAAGAGACTTGCTTTCAGTGTTTCAAAGAAATCTGCTGGGATATTTTTCTACACTTCCAAAGTTCAGTCTTAGAAGTTGGTTGCATTTTCTACTTTTCATGATCCAAAAGTTTCTCAAAAACATTCATTAATGTTGACATCTGGACATTGAGTTGGTCAATTCATTGTTCTGAGAGCACCAGCAGCTTCTTTCTTTGATTCCCTTCATTTTTGGTCTATGTCCTTTTCCCAGTGAGGCTTCTTAACAGCTACACATCCTTTCAGACTCATAGTGCCGAGTTGTGTTCTCACAGTGGAAGGATGGACAAATACACCTGTGGATTTTTTAAGTCTGAAGCAGCTTCATTATCCTCAAAGAGGAAAGCTTTAAGTGCTGTTTATCGGATGGTGACAGTTTTGGTGGTCTACTAGGTCTTGCACAGTTTTAGGAGTCTCAGTTTCTCAGTTTTCTTTGACTTTCTTCTTCCTTATGCCAGTGGATTAGCTTTATAAATTGAGAGTGGTCTCTGACTTTTGGTCATTACTGTATCAAAATACTATGTGTGCATATAAATGACTGTATCTATCAGACTGTTTCTTATTGTAAGGCAACGAAGTAGGGAAATTTAATATTTATCGCTGCTGTCGGAAGAAAACCTTGTATCTCCGTTTTTGTCGTTTTTCAGTTTTTGACATAATTTGAAAATGCCTGTTAGCCTTTATATTGTGTGTAAATTTCATGAAGAAAGGACCGAAAGAAACAGCCCAAAATGACTTGGAAAAAATTCTGGTTCTATTGACTTTTAAAAGTAGAGTATATTTTTTCCTTCTCCTGTAAAGTTACCATTTTGGAGATACGAGGTTTTCTTCCGACAACAACGATATGCATTATCATCATTCAAATTGCCAACTAATCACTACTGATTAATCAAGAAGGGAAATTTGAATTGATTATTCTTTGATTAAATCAGTTAATCATGATAGCCCTTGTCAGAACTAAATGCACAATGACAAAGCGAATAGGTTGATACTGAATTTTCATATACAGTTGATTTTTGTTGAAGAGGTGTTAATGTGGGCTCACGGAGAATGAATTTGCACAGGACCCAGAAATTAGTGAAAGGCCGCTGGTTAGGGCCATTGGCCGTTTGATTAAAATCACAGCTTCCTGTTGATTAAAGAGCTCTGCTCAAATCTGCACTGCAGGACTGAGTGGCACGGTGAATGGGCATGACTCAACATGTGTTTATTTCTAGACTTATTTATTTATTTCCTTATATCCTTATTTGAATATTTCTCCATAGGAGTGCCAGCTCAGTGGCAGTGCTCCTTTTTAATAATTCCTTCTTTGATGTTATTTTGGCTGTTGAATCAGGCCATCTGAGATCATTACGATCCTGGAGGTAGATCCTGGTACAGATTTAGACTAAAGTATGCTTCTGACATATACTTTTAATAGCTTATTGATATGTTTATTGATACATTTTGGTGTCTTCCTCTAAAAGTGGATGCCTCAGCAGAATCTGCCTTTATTGTAATCCTTCTTGCAATGACCAGAGAAGTCAATACAATAGAACAATGGAGACTGGGCCTGTCCGTGCTTCTTGAATCATTGAAGGCCTGAGCGGCCTTATCGCCTTCATTAACTCGAGCGTGAGCGGGGCGTTTGGATCAGATTGTCTTCATAAATCAGCTCTGAATGAGATGACACTGCTTACAAAAGCGTGCGGCCTCCCTCTGTGTCTGTATCTCTCATTATCGATCCTCTCAGAGAAAAGCCTCTGTCTTTGCTATTGTGCTCTGCCGTTTGAAACATTACCCCTGCAGTTATGGATTTGAAGGAACTGTCATGTAGCGCAAGTGTGCCTGCTGTGGCCCTATCATTCGAGCTGCATGGTAGCTTTATCAACATACAGATTTTGCTTTTAGTGGACATGCCAATACATACAAAAAGCGGAGTTTTCATTGTCATTTGACTTTTTTTAACCAAAATTATACAAAATTACGCTTTATTGAAAAATATATATTTTTCCTGAACAAATGCAATTGATCATAATAGCAGAGGACAAAATATTTTGTCTTTTATAGTAACAGATTTTTAGTCGATACCGCAGCAATACAACATCTGAACAGAAACCCAATCTGAACCTGTTGTAAATTCAAATGAATAGACAGGCTGAGCAACACTATAAAGATAGATCAGCCAGATTAACTTTTTATGGTAATTGTGCCATAGCATATATATTTATATACAGTGCTGTGCTAAAGTCTGAGAGCACCCTTCCTTTGTTTAATTTATAAATGAATATATTCAACCACATATATTTTACAGCAAATTACACAGAAGCCTCCAACACTAAATATTATATCACATATGTCAGTATTCAATTTGTCCGCAGGTGTTTCTGTCCATCCTTTCAGTGTTATAAGAGAACTCAAGCTTTGAGTGTAAATTTGTAATCGGGATTATTTGGATTGTGAGAAGCAGAAAATATATGTATAGGGTTTTACCATTACTTAATAGTGCTATTTAGTGTTGCTTGATCCTCTTCATGGTCAAATCTGATTATGTTTGGACGGCGACTGTAGTTCAGAATACATTCCAAATCTAAACAGCTCTACTGAGAATTTGATTGGCCAGGATAATAAAATGATAATAAAATTGAGCACACTATAAAACAATTAGCCAGATCATCTCTCCTACAGCTTCTTCAGCTTATTACATCTAAAACATTTAAACAGACCTAATAAACATTAATGACCTCCTGGTAACTTTTAGGTGATTAGTTCTTATTGAACTCATTTAAATTTAAGACATGTTTATAATGGGCACTTTCATAGTGTAGCTAATGTGTTGGCGTGATTCCGTAAACGTCTGAGTGATTTACTCTCTACGTCTTTTTATAGTGTAGATGTTTTAAACTCTTTTACCACTGACTTTGAACAGTGAAGGGTCTTTTGTGGCACAAGTTTGCAAAAACTTATAGTGTGTAATTTTGTTGCCGGACATATTGTCCAGCAGCGGCCTTAGTCTGTGATTAGTGCTGGCTTAAATTGGGTCAGTAAGGGCATGGTCTCTCATTATACAAGACAGAATTGGTCAGAGAGTATATTGGGAGTGTATTGTCTCTCATTAGCAGAGGCCGGAGCTGGTCAGTGACTGTATTGTCTTTGGTTAAGTAGTAGCTTGCTTACTGTAAATAAGGTCAGTCTGGGTCATGTCCTGCTCCTCACATGCAACGGCTCCTGCAGTGGTTTCCTGTTTTTGTCTAAAGTAAGTGGACAGTGTGCGCTCACAGCTAAAGATAAGTGGGGTCAACAAGCTAGGCTGCATGACTAATGGCTGGTGTGATATGTTTGTAGTGAATTCCTTCGTTTAATCTCTACAGACGTTTGGAGACGTCTTTTAGGCCTTTACACAACTTTATTTGTTTGAAACCTACATGAGACGTACCATGTGGTCAAGTCAAACAATATGATGATTGATTTCTATCCAGAAAATTAGTTAGCTAGCAGGCAGCTTAGTTAACATGACTGCTTTTTGAAGCTGCTTGTGCTACCGTTTGTTCTGTTGTTATCCGGTTGTACTGTGATGTATGAAGCTTGGTTTTTCTCCTCTTTTGACTAAAAAAAATGGTACAAAATGCAAATGTCAGCTAAATATCACATCATGGATGGCTTTATCTAGCCAGAACAATACAGTGTAGGAAACAAACTGGCCACTACACTTGATAACTAGTGGAATAATCAAATGTGTTGCATGCAACTTTGATTATTTTTTTTTATTGCTTCACCATGTAAAACCAGCCTTAGAAGTCTTTATTATTTGTGATTTGCTATACTGTAAGCCAGTGGCATAACTAGGGCCCCAGTGCAAAAAAACAAGCCCCCTCTCTACAAAAAATACTTTCAGTTAATAAAAAAAAACAATGTAATTTGCTTGTTTACTTGCTGTTATTATGAGTCAAACCAGTTGATCTTCTTAAAGCATACCAGACCACCCACCACCATCTAACGTTAACCTTAATGTTTACATTAGACTACCTACTTCACCGATTTTAGAATTATACACAATTGCAGGTTGTGAAGGGCCTGTTTGAAAATGGTTATTATGGATAAGAGGCATTATGAACAAGAGGGAGATGAATAAATGGGAGTGAGATACATAGATAAATAGCCGTGGCTGTCTGTGTATTGGTGATCTATGTCGTTATGATATCAGATCGTGCTATGAATCATGGGTGTGTAATTGTGTGAGTATGTATGTGGGGGCCCACTCACTGTGGGCTCCAGTGTATTTGCTGTCCTCCACTATTGTAGCCTCTTGCTCTTATACCGCATAAAGGATGGTGACAATATTTACAATATTATGTTATCATTAATAATTGGAGTAGGCACTATGATAATTTATTACATTATAATTTAAATTTTACTATTGTAATACACAATACGTCTTTCTGAGCATATTGTAGATATTGTAATTTATGAGCACTGACCAACTGTATGTCACATTAAAAAGGAAAAATAATGTAAAAAATATTATTCAAATTAATTATTATTAATT